CCCAGAGCCCTGGTCCGGTTCCTGCTACCACGCCCACCCTGGCTCCTTCGCTCCGAATCCGGCGTGGCAACACCCAGCTCCCTAGCCGGCCGGCCCGCTCAGCCCTCGCTTGGGTTTGCTGGCTTGGCTTCTCCAGGCTGGGGACTCGGGGCCCCCAGCACCGCCCGCACAGCGCCGGCACAGAGGGCGGCGCCCCTGAATCGGGGCCCTGACGTCCCATCTGTGTGTGACCCACAGGGAACCCAGTGGCTCTCTACAGCCTCAACCTCCTCGGCTGTTTCGGCAGAGAACCAGGCAGGGTCAGGGCTGCAGACGGCGCCTACAAGGGACCTGGCCGTGTCCTTAAAGTGAGTGCACATCAGGCCGCCTCGTGTGGCCCTGACCCATCCCTGTTTCAAGTCACAGGCTCTACGATGTCCTCCCCATGCCCAGTGCCACCCCTGGGTGTCGCCACGCTCCTGCCCAGGATTGCTAGGCCCAGAGCTCACACACCCACACACGGTCGTTCATGCGCTCAACAAACACTGAGCACCCACGGTATGCCAACACGATACCGAACAAGGACCAGGCAACAGCAGGCCACAAAAACTGTCCTCAAGGGCGTGGCCTGGGCTGGGGGACAGAGGGGATGCAGCAACGAGTGAGATGTCAAGCAGTGTGAAGGCGCAGTGGGACCCAGCCAGGGCCCTGTGCGAGGGGTGGACACGGCAAGCAGGAGGGGCACTGAGAAAAGAGCAGGTCAGTGAGACGGGGTCCCGGGTGGGGTTCCGGGGAGACGCAGCCGGCCAACCACGGAAGCCTGTGGGGGTCAGAGCAGCAGGGAGCCACAGAGGGCGCCGGAGGAAGCAGAAGGGTATGATTCCATCTCTGTCTGGGAATCCCGAGTCGGCCACGGACAGCAGTGGGGACAGGATGGAGTGGCGGGGGCCAGCGAGGGGCCGGGCAGTGTTGGGGAACACTGAGCCCTAGATCATGATGGTAGGATTCAGATTTAGGGGCCTGGCTTTTATTACCCCCGATATTGGGAATTGAGCCCAGGGCCTTCTTACTGAATCGATGTCCCTGCCTTTCTAAAAATTTTTATTTATTTATGCATTTATTTGGTACCAGGGATCGAACTCAGGACCTTACACTTATGAGGCAGGCGTCGGTACTGCTGAGCTAAATCCTCCGCCCAAAATTTTTATTTTGATTTGGCTAAGTCACTAAATTGCCCACCCTCCTGCCTCAGCCTCCCAGAGTGCTGGGATGACAGGGGTGCGCCACCACACCAGGCTTTGGACCTGTTTTTCGCCCAGGGGAACCGGGGAAGACTAGGGACAGGAGTGGTTCCCTACGATTCCCTGGTGTCTCCCCGAGCCAGGCATAGAGGACGGAATCTCCCGGTTTTAAGGACGAAGCTATGGACTCCACAGGCATTCTGCACATGCGCAGAACACAGCCACAGGCACCCCCACCCCCACCCCCACCCTGCGCGCATCTTCCATTCCCCTCTGGCCTGAAACCCTCTGCGTGCAGGTTCAGGGGCTGCTGCTGGGCCAAGGCCCGCCCGGGACGGCAGGGTCTCAGGTGCCCACCAGAGGGCGCCCTCCCGCGCTCACCTGCCATAGCTCCCTAGTGTCCTCTCTGCAAAGCAGTGCTGCTGAGCGAGTATCGGGCCTGGGGTCTGGGGCCTGCGGCTATACCTGTCCTCGGTGGTTGCCTCTCTCTGACATGGTAGGGGCTGTAATAGCGAAGCCCGGGGTAGGTGTACTTATCCCCCAGGAAACCTGTAGTAGGTCCGGGTTGCCCGTCTCTCTGCCCCACCTCCCTGACCCAGCTAGAAATTCCACTTTCCTCTTGCCCTTGGCACTCAAGGGCCCAGGAGGAACCACCGCCGACTACTGCCACCCCCTCCCCACAGATGGAGCCTCACAGCTGCTCCCTGCTCACCCAGGCTGTGCACATGAAAAACAACTCAGCAACTGGGCTTAGCGGTGCACACCTGTCATCCCAGCACTCTGGAGGCAGAAGGATCGCAGCGAGTTCGAGGCCAGCCAGGGCTACACAGTGAGTTCAAGGCCAGCCTGAATTACAAAAAATAAAATAAAAATAAAAAAAGGAAAAAGTAACAATTCAGCTATCACAGAAGAAGACAAAAGAGTCAGACCCCCAACAGGGGCCTCAAAGGGAACACAGACAAGCTACGGATGTGTGTGGGATCTGGGAGCAAGAGGGTGGCCAGGGAGTCCTCCCATCTGGGGGCCTGGTGGAGACCCAACAGGCCAAGGAATGGAGCTCCGGGCTGAGGGCACAGCATGTGCAAAGGGCCTGAGGCTAGACCAGCCTGCATCCAGAGGGTCAGTGAGGGCTTACTGCTAGGATCTGCGTGGCTCATTCATGCTAAGGTGTAAAGGGTTGCCAACGAAGCCAAATGAGGGGTTTGTGATACTTTCCCACGTTCAGGGGCAAGACACAGGGAGCAGGGATGTTTCCTTGCTTGACCCCAGCCAGGTGGCTCTGCTGGTGGTGACTGAAGAGCCTGGCCTGGTTGGCCTAGTGGCCAGCCCCAAATTCTCCCTGCCTCCCTCTATTTCCTCTTGGTAAAACCCACTCAGCCACTGGCAACTCTTGCTGTCCCAGACTGGCAGAGGTCAAAGACTCGGGCTGTGGCCCAGCACTTCCACATCCTGAGGTCCTGTATTCTCCTGCATGATATGAGGCTGGCAGCAGCCTGTGGCTCCCTAGTGAAGTCCCTGAGCCTGACCACTGTTGGCCTGGATGCTGCTCTACCTGCCTCCCATCTCAGCACATCCATTCCTGTGCCCAAAGACCTCCCCATCTAGGCAGCCTAAGATGCTGTCAAAACCTCCCGTCTACCCCAGGACCTTTGCACATGCAATCTGTACTGGATGGCACCATCTTCCCCTGGCTTCCTCTTCACTGCACCTCAGACATCACATACCCACAGATCCCCGCTTGAACATGTCTCATCTATCTGTTCCTACGTTCACTGGTCGTCTCCCTCAGGGGACTGAGAACCCTCTAGGAGACAGCCTTCCTCTTCTTCACATCTGTGTTCGTAGCACCAGGCACCAGTAGCCATCTACTTTGTGCTTGCTGCTTGCATGAAGGTACCTGCCTGCTGCCTGGTTCCATATTGCTCCCTCTTCTCATTAAAAACCAATGAAGGCTGGGGATTTAGCTCAGTGCTGCCTCACAAGTGCAAGGTCCCAAGTTTGATCCTGGTACAAAAAAAAAAAGCCAATGGAATAAGCTAAGCAGCTTATTCATACTAAGGTGTAAATGACTGCCAAAGAGGACATATGAGGAGCCCACAATATTTCCTCCAGGACACAGGCGAGATGTTGAGACCTGGCCAGTCGTGGAGGGCATCCTGAACCCTCCATAGGCCCCCAGGCACAGGAGCCTCCGTTCGATCAGCTGAGACATGGGCTGAACTCGAAGCCTGGCTGAGCATTCTGGTCCCGCCCAAGTCCTGGGAGCTTGGGAACCCCGCACCTGCCCCGAGAGTCCTTGGGCCACAGCTCAAGTTCCGGCCTCGCCCAGCCACCTGTCGGAGGTAGGACCTCGCCGACCAGGCCCGAGGGGGCGGCGGAGGGTAAACTGAGGCAGCGCGTCACTCACCTCCAGAGGTGCACGCCCAGCGAAGGGCTGCAGGGGCTGCAGGGGCTGCTGGGGCTAAGCAGCGCCGGGCTCTGGCTGCTCGGGGACAGACTGCGAAGAGAGAGGCAGCCATG